TCGGTTCATTTCCGTTGAAACAGAACTACTAGTTCACTTTTGCCTATGCGTCTCCAAGGTCCCTGGTTGTAAAGGAGATATCTTTGCAACGTTAGAGCAGGAAGGTTTTGCAGTGGAGGTTCTTTTCAACATATGTTATCTTATGCTATTGGTTTAGAATTTAAATACAGTATTTTTATTATTTGACATTACATCAAATTTAGGTAAAGTAAATACAGGAAAGTTATTGTGTATGGTTTCAAACACCATGTTATTTCAAAATGAAGTATTGTTAATGACTGGTAAGCAATGAATATGCAGAAGTTAATTGTGTTAATTGTGCACTGTATCCAGTTGTAGCTGGATTTTTGAGGATCTATGAATGAATATTAATGAGCTAAAGTTATATGCATATATGCATATTAATTAGTTAAAAGTAAGTGGCACTGTGATAAGTCAATACTATGAAGTGTGACCATATGTTAATGTGTAACCAAAGAATGGGGTGTGTTAACTGAAGAAAGGGGCAGGGTACGGTAATCCCTAGGCAGTAGACTGATACACCTCTTGGAGAGAAAATGTAAAGCATGTTAATGGTATATAGCTAATAGAATGGAAGCTTGGTGTTATTGTATTACAGAAGCTGGGAACTTAAGTGAGTGATGATTAAGTAACTTGGAATTGTACTTACCTGAGTTCAAATTTACAATGATAATGACCTATGACCTGATAGTTATTCTGTAAATGTTACTGATTATAAAGTTGCATGATATATAGAGCCCAGTTGGATTTTATATTTTTCAGCTCCAGAATAACTTGGGACCAGGATATAGGCAATGGTCGTGTAAAAGGCCTATATAGTGAAGCAACCAAGGTGATTTATTGAGACGTTACATATTATAAGGTGCTCAGGAACTGATATATTTGATTTCAAACTGTAAAGCCAAGCCTAAGCTGAGCTGATTTGACGGCGGCATATAAAATGGGACGTTGTTTCGTACTGTACTAAGTTCATTATCTCTTTTATTTTAGAAATATTGTATCTGAACATTTTATTGTTAAAATCGTTACATTATATCTTGATTTATGTTCAGTTTGTCATGCCATGTACATAGTACACATGACAAACTGAAAACACATGCAATTATCACTCAACATCTACAGCGCGTGTGACAATATATATGTGTATTTATATATACACGTATATATGTTTATATGTATATATACACATTATATATACTGTATATATATATACTGTATATATATACTGCATATATATGACTGTATAAATATACTGTATATATACTATCCCACTGTGAATATATATACTGTATATATAATGATATTGTATGTATATATATATATATATATATATATATTGTATATATATATATACATATGCGTATACACATACACACATACGTATTTTTTTTATTTATTTATTTTTTTGTGTTGTACTTTTGAGACAAAAACGATACATACGGATCACGCAATAGGGCTTTGTACCGGTAATCTAATTAACTTTATTTTTAACATTCAGGTTCAGATTTCTTTACACATAATAACATTGGGATTTACATCCTATGTAAGCAAATTTTATTCGACAGTAACGGAAGCTTCTAACTATTCTGTGGTAATTGTGAGTATTGCGAAGGTGAAGCGTCGTTTGGCATTAAAACGGCTGTACATAAATTAGGCCTAAATTAAATAATATTTTCTAATGTACTAACATTTGTATTAGGAAATGGAGTGTTTTTTTTTTTTTGTTTTTTTTTGTTTATATATATATATATATATATATATATATATATATATATTAAATTGTTTTGCATTATATGGCCGTTTGCTGTTTTATGGGTTATCCCCATTTGCCTTTCAAACTTATATATTATTTAAGAATCTCTATTGAGATCCAGTGCCGCCATTGATGCACGGTAGAGATTGCATCTTTAGATCTCCGATCTTGTTCACAAATTCACGGACTAGTGCCTGTTTCCATCCAAATGCTCTCTCTATAATCCATTTCTTGTGATGTGTCCAAAGTAGGCCTACTTTATTTTGCTTTAATAATCTATAATTTCTTGCATATGTCTATACATCATGCCCTATTGTTATACTGTACCTGTTTTAATAGGATGACATGAAATAAGCGTAATTATGTAAATGAACAAGGATTTGGATTTGAAGAAAATTTTTTTTTTTTATATATAACAAGTAAGACAATAAGACCAAGAACTGTGTTAGGCCTAATTAGCTTGAATAACATAATAATTTAATTTGTATGCTTAGCAGATTATTTACAAATCGGTATTAACCTGCTATTCAAAGATGGTAACACTAACTGGGTTAAAGCTAATTAGCTGAACTAATATAATTATCAGAAAACATTATTTATTGGCAGTACTGTAGTAATCGTAAGCCTAGGGGATGATTTACTAATAAATATGTACGATATTAACCTTTCATATTTTGCCTCGTTCATATGTTGATCATTTGATTAGCCTCAAAAGTTACCGTTACATTTTTAATATAATTTCAATTGAATACCAGTTTGTCGTGCCCACCCTTTTTCAAGCCTTTCCGATTTTAAGAATTCTTGTTTATAGGTTGGTCAAAGGTCAAATATGGAGCATAATTAAGCAATTAGCAAAACAAGGGTGACTCTATTACAACCAGAAACAGTAAACGCCGTTTGGTCTATTTGTATTGTGTACCTATATCCTAAATAATCTTAAAAAGCTTGACTAGGAAATACCGGGTTGGTGTCCGGCCAGGGATCTTTCCACCATATTCTAAGACTTACGTAAAGCGCCTAGAGGTATCTGCGCTTCATTAGACGCTATAATATATAAATACCGTTTTATTATTATTATGATTATTATGTTTATTATTATTATTATTATTATTATTATTATTATTATTATTATTATTATTATTATTATTATTATTAAACCAGGTTTACATTAAGTAGGCTTAAAAATAAAATTAATAATCTTAAAAGGACCTCATCAATTTGTCAGAAAACATGAGTTTTGTCCTCATTATGTTTATCTGTATTGGTTAACTTCTTTGAAAAGGTTATTTGTGTGGCTGCTACTAGGCACGTCTGCTATAAACAGATGCGGTAGTAGCAACGACATAAGGCATGTCTGTTATGAATATTTATTGGCAATGCCTGTGTGCGTGGTTGGTTCTGTTCCATATCACCTCCGTAAAAGGAGTAAAATTCAGCAAATGTTTAGCTCGACAGGAAATCTCAGAGGTCGGAATTTTGGGAATAGCACATTGAATCAGAAAGAACAAATGAAGTAATCGCCATTAGAATAAAACTTAATTGAACAAGGCAGTCACAAGGGAATTTGGATTAAGGTTTATGCTAAAATTTGAATGTTTGTATGCGCCGCTATTTCATTTCAACCCAAAACAGTCAATATAAACTTCGTTTACATCATTTATTACAACTCGCAGTAAAAGTTGTAAAGTCATAAAATAAGGATGGTAAGGAAATTGTCAGGAAATAATAATTTGTATTTTCTGTTACAAAATGCATTATTATTATTATTCTTATTATTATTATTATTATTATTATTATTATTATTATTATTATTATTATTATTATTATTATTATTATTATTATTATTATTATTTTAGGCACACAATATGCGTCAAAGATTGCCTACTGTAGCTTGTCGGGAGATGTTTTCTCAAATCCCAGGGTCAAGGGTAACATCCTGTAATACCATGATCCTCTCACGGTTGAAAACATTCTCGTAATGAAACTTACTAGTTTTAAGCATCGTACTATTTTAATTTTAAACGAACCATTTGATATCAACTACCTTCTGTAATATAACTAGAGAGATCGCCCTCTGGTTTAAAAAATAAAGGTTTATCAAAATAAGTTGAAAAGCTATAAATGTATTTAGTAATTTTCTTAGATTGAGTCTAATAAATCGTTTCATAGTGGTTGTATGAATATAATTGATGTGTATATAGGCATAACCTAGGCCTACTTCATTTTCATTGCACTGACTATTAAAACATAGTTGGACTCGATCTGCGTACAAAATTTGATATTGGTTCATATAGAGAAATTTACGCGGTACCATATCCCAGTCAACACTAGACGCGTATTAAACCCGAGCACAGGGTCAGTTGACGTCTGGCTTAAGCAAACGCTAAATCTTCCTGACGCAGTAACCAGCCTCTGAACTAACTATATACCGGTACGTCATGATTATAACCGTGCTACACAACATCAGTGGTTGAAAAACCAATGTCTGACGTCGGCCCACTTGCTATAAGCCATCAGTTTTAAGCTAAACTGAATAGGTTTCGTAAAAACGTAACTACGGTGAACACAGTTTGATTATAGTGTTAGGCCTTCTTTATTTAATATAAATGATAATTGTGCATTTGCTGTTGAATTATGTAGATTCGAACGATTTGTTTGTGTATGAGTATTCATTTGTGTCAGTCTGTACGTTAAAATCTCGCATTTCAGCATCATTCTTCTTGATGTCGATACTTGACGGATTTTTCGATTTTTTTTTTCTAAAAAAAAAAAAAAAAAAA